GGAGACAGAGAAGGTCCGGATGCTGTCTGCCAGGGAGGGTTTCCCACAGGAGGAGATAGCTGTAGACTCCCACTGCCTCCGAGGAGTCATGGGGGATGGGAAGATGCTGAAACTGAGCCATGATGGTTCAGGGAAGTGCTGTTTTATTTAAACCCTCAAATGGCTTGACATGCCCCTGGTACTTTCACTGCCTAATTATAAATGAAAGGAAAACGGCAAGAGAATCCCCTCCTGTTGACCATCTCCCACTTAACAAGGCAGCACATGTCGCAGTCTCTACCTTTTTAGCTCTGTCCTTGCTTTTATCCTTCTGCAATTTAATCCTAACTCAATTATATTATTACAGCGTGTCACTTTGAGTCACTTTCCCCCTTATTGGCATATGGCTCTTTTCAGTTTCACTGCTAATTCTTTTCCGGTGGACTTGTTTAAAACGTACTCATTTTCTGCTTAGACTCTGTGTTATTCACGCATCACATTTCTGCAATGCCTGGCTAACTTCCTCAAGAGGAGAATGGGAGCCGGGATCTTCACTCTCTGCATACATTTGCTGGAGTTTCCATACTGAATTGTCAAAACACAAACTAGATGGCAGGAAAGGTGAGCATCATGCCCCATCTGTCAGAAATGTGGATAGGAGGCTGCCCTCCACTGGGTCTATTCCAAAGCCCTGGACCAGAGTGATGAGCAGAGCTGGTGAATACTGAAAACTATTTTCTATCAATATCTCTCTCTCTCTTTTTTTTTTTTTTTTTTCCCTCTTCTCTCCCCATCGCTCCCCCTCCCTTTGAGCTTTCAAATACATTTACTTAGATTCTTTGTGCCATTTTTGACTTTCCTCCTTGTGTCAGCTGGAACAGAGGCTCTTCCTAGCAAGATGATTCTGCAGTTTCTAGTTTCCTGAGGAACCCAATCAAGTTATCTTCAGATTTGAGTATGGGCTACTTAACTGATAGCTTATTAAACACAGAGATCACAGAAGTCACTACTGGGGGAATTTGCATTTAAGAAATATATATATATACATGTGTGTGTGTGTGTGTGCATATATATATATATATATATATATATATGTATATATATATATATATATATATATATATATATGACGCTCCATGGCCAAGAAAAGAGGACTATTTTAAAAATATATGCATTTTTCACCCTCTCAGCTAGCAAGAGAAGGAGATAGTAGTGGTGATACACACGCAATACTGCCAAGTCCCAAACTTTGCAAGAGCTTTTCACAAAAGCTTGTTTACACTTGGAAATGTATTTCAATAGAGATTCTAGAGCATTTGGCATCCGTTACTATAAAAGACCCCCTTTTCCTTCCCCCAGTATACACTCTTTTTCTGGATTGCCTTTTACCAATTTAATTTGTACGTGAAATAAGCTAGCTAAAGGGAAGGTTTTCTGGCAAGCATCCAAATAGATGAGCCAGAAGAGGAATTTTCTGTTTTGGAAAAAAAAATAAATTAAAAAAAAAAAAAAGTTTCGCTTCCTTTTTCCAACACAGAACTTAGATACAGGTACAGAAACCCAGGCAAACTATCCAGTAAAAATTCTGCAAATTCTCTTTACTGTAAAGGTAAAGACCAAATTAAAAATCAGATTGTTCAGAGATGGATGCTCTCAGATAAGAAGAGCAAAGTCTTCTGCTTGAAGGAGACTCATGGTTGTCCAATATTCCTGAGGAGTTCAATAATTTCATTGCAGGAAGAGGCTACATCAAATGCATATCCATTTGTGAACTTTTGAAGTTAAATAACTTGAAGACTTCAATGTTCAGATAGAGACCAGGTATTCTATACTACAAACTGAGACTTGTAAATTGGTAGTGGAGTATCTAGTACACGTAATAAGAAAGGTATGGAATGTTGCAAATTGGGCTGTGGTACTGATGATCATACAAACAAAGCAAACATGTCAGTGGAGGCTATTTTATTTCTCTTTTCGGAATCAAATCAAAAGTAATTATGGAAACTCTCTGTGTCTATACCTACTTTCCAATTCAAGATTTCACTATAAAGATCATACGAAAACATATTCAGGAATTCTGATAACAGGCTCTTCAGCCTTGGGTACCAATCTCGAAGCATATAAGAATATGATTGTACTTTTTATCCTTTAAGTTTCTCTTTCCTCCTGTTAATACAGTTTTAACTTGCTAGCTACATTACTTAGCTCTGTAATGACTCCGTGGTTTTAGCTAGCACTTAAGATAACATGGTGTTATTATATCAAGAAATCACGTCCACTTTGTAGCTTTTATGTAGCTGTGTAGCTTTTCTCCTCTGTTTTCAGACTTGATCTGGGATAAGAGACAGCTAATTCTCCATCCTCTTTCAGGCCATTGGGTCAGGTTGGCCCTAACCATCATATCAATTTCCCTAAATCCCTCAGTCAACTTGTCTGTCAGAGATAAGATTTTGAGTCTATTTATTCTACCTCCTCCATCTGAGCTTCATGTAGACTAGCTGTCCTCTGTAGTAGAAAGCTGTCCATGCACCATAAAACTTCCTTAGAAGTTAGACTTACTGATTAATTACTTGAAACATGAGGGGAAAAAAAAAAAAAAAAGTCTTGCTAGATTTGGGAAGGGAGAGGTGTAAATAGAATACAAGGCAACTTTCTTTCTTTCTTTCTTTCTTTCTTTCTTTCTTTCTTTCTTTCTTTCTTTCTTTCTTTCTTTCTTTCTTTCTTTCTTTCTTTCTTTCTTTCTTTCTAATATAATTTAAAATAGTGAATTTATTTCTTACACCAAACTATCTGTTGTATTATTCTCCTCATTTTTTGAAAAGTCCTCTTTGAAACAGACAGATCTCTCAGTGACTGCTGAGCAAATAAACAGGAAAAACAACAGTCCAAAAGCAATTTATGGAAAGAAAGCATGAAGAGGAGGTGAAGCCTAAAAAAAGTTACATCTGAAATGAGTTTTGAAGAAACATATGCTCTCATGCAGCAGATTTTTCAACCTCATAGGAAATATGGTGCTGAAATGAGAATAGGTTGATGAAAGGATGGATTTGTTTTCTGTGAGATTTCCTGTACATTTGCATGTGAGTATTTGCCCCCTTCCCTGTGAAAGTCTTTGTCTTATTGCTTGTAGAGGGATGCATTCTGTGCACCTACATTTCCTTCCCCAGTCTGGAAGGGATTTGCATTTACATTGATGACTGTTTATCTTCCTGTGCCTCTAATGTTTGTGATAGGTACAATAATGACTGACCTTGCCCTAGTAAGACTGCGGTATGGCTCATCGGAGGAGAATAGCATGATAAAATCCTTGAATTAATGCTAAGGGTGATTATTATTTTGCAAGATGGGTAGCCCACAAAATGCCACTTTGCTATTTCTAGTGACTGGCATTTGTTTAGCAACACAGAGCACAATTTAGAGGAGGCTTTCCAATTCCTACTGGATGGGATCAATTTGACAGAAGCATCGGTATCAGGAGATCCTCTGCTAGGAAAAGAACTATCGCTCTCCACTGTCTTTGCCATTTACAGGAAGTATTGGTGCCAGCAATTTGACTTTCATCAGCAATAAAACAGAGAAGAAAAAAATAAAAAAGAGTTGCAAATGATTCTATAATGTCCTTGAAATTAAATTAAAAATAGCCATCACTGCCAAAACTCAGAAAAGGACTCACAGCTTTTTTACAGTGCCTACTACAATGTGGATTTATGATTGCCGGAATACTGCCTACTGTATAACAAGTGTAGTATTAAGTGCCATATTGGACTACCATATGGCTACTAACCTCAGAGGTTGGTAGCAACTATCAGTGTAGAAATTAGTGTGCAGAATGAGCCTGAGGATAAAACCAGTTATCACTCAAGCATGCTATATAATTGGCTGTAGCAAGAAACTAAAAAATGTCTCGGAAACCAGATGGATTTGAAATGTTCCATTATTCATAAACACTTTTTTTTTTTTTTTTTTCTGCTGCAATACTTGTTCCTTTCCCAAATATTCTGTTGTTAAAAAGAATAATTACCATGCAGAAGCAAAAAGTGAGGAGGATAAAAGTCCTTGCTGCTGGAGTGGGGGTGGTCTTTGTCTGGTTTTGGCCACTCAGTGCCTGCAGTGCCCAGGTCACAGGCAGCCCATTGTGCCAATTTGTGCAGAGATTTCTGCTGCACTCTTCACACAAATTGTGATATGGGTGGTGGTGTGGGTACACGTGGCAGTGTCATTAGCAGCCCTTCACAGCTGTACAAACTCATCCTTAGTGTTTCCCTCTTTTTTTGATCGCTCAAGTGACAACCATTGTAATCTCCTTGACAGGAACTGCTTCCCTGGAGGACAAGGCGTCCCCCCACGCGCTCATATTCCCTTCATCTCCCTTCTTTCCATCCCATTCCTCCCACTCTATTCCTTTTTCCTTCTGGATCCATGAATGAAGGAGGAAGACCCTCCCCCCAAAAATAAATAAATAAATAAATAAATAAATAAATAATAATAATAAAAAAAATAGAGGGAGAGAGAAACAAAGAGAGGCCATTTTATGGACAACAAAAGGCAAAGATCTTTGTGTGTAATATCAAGAAAGCAGAACTTGAATATGCAGGAGAGGAATGATGCAAAACCCATCTACACTCAGTTCAGGTCTGGAGAGCCTCTACATGTCAGGAAATGAAAGCTCTCTCTCATCTCACTCCATGACCAGCCTCTTGGAAACAGCTTTCACCTATTACAAGAAAAAAGGAAGCATTACAGATTTTTTTTTCTCTGAAAAATAGGACACAAAGGGGTACTCCAGTTCCTATCACCCAGTTATTTTTATTTTTTTTTAATTAATTCTAAGAACCCACCTACACATGGGAGGGGTCCACATAGGTTTGAGGTAAAGAGGAAACTAAAGGTTGTTGAAGGATGGCAAATTTATTTCCATTGGTTCATCAATAAAACCAAAAGGTTGTTTTTTTTGTTGTTGTTGTTGCTGTTGCTGTTTTGATTTTGTTACTGATATATGGAAAAATACATTCAAGTAAAAATATTTTATTGCCTTTTCAGATATGAAATTTACACAACTGAATATATGATCTAAAATGTAAGAAAAGTTTCACAATGAAATGCATTTTCAGAAAATAAATATATAAATAAAATTAAAAAAAAAAAAAAGAAAACACACACACCCTAACTTCCAAGTATTTCATTCTCCATTGTCTTATATATCCCGCTCATCCATTGCCAACAGCTAATTTCCTTTTTCTGCTAAACCTGGAGGAAAACCCTCCTATTCAGACATAGAGGACTAGGTGTGGGCATTGTGATGCTTTGGTGAGCATAGTTGGTGCATAGCTGAACACGCTTCTGGCCAGTTTTATTTCTGGTTATTCTAAACCAGATAGAAGGAAACACAACTTTCTTTTCAAGTTTGAAAGTGAAGGTTACTTTGAATCTGTCTATTAGAATGCAGTCCTCTAAATATTCAGAATCTGCTGTATTAGTTAGGATTCAGACTCATTTTTCATTATCATAAGTTCTGGGATAAAATACTGAAAGATTAACATCAAGACACTGAGAAAAACAACATTAATGAGACATTTGGAAGATGAGTGAATAGACGATAAACAGAAAGTTTATTCCAGTCCACAGCTAAGTGGGTAACAGGGCTGTATTTTACTGTTACAATGATATGGGATGTCATGGAGCTGTGGAAGTTTACTGCATGTATATCCATGTAGGTGTCTTGTTCAGTGTCACTAAGCGTTTAGACAAATAATGTATAAAGAACAACCAAGAAAAAACTTACCGTGTTAGACACTGTACAACTGAAGCAATATCTATTCTTCTATTAAATTTGTAGGTAGTATTTTAGACTGAAGTTATGGCATTGCACATACATTTATTTTATGCATTGCCAGCAATACCAGTGTAGCGTAAAACACTTATTTTATGGTGTACTGGTTTTGGTGGAAAGTTGCATGAATCTACTAATTCCAGGTCAGCAAGGGGGTTTAAAAGCTTCCATGATCAGCCTGCATCTGACCTGAAATGTGCTTTTACCAAGACAAGCTATCTAGAAAATTTAAAACAGAAAGAAAGATGATAAGGAAGCAGCAAAAATTGTTGGGCAAAAAGCTGAATTGGAAGGAATCACCTCTTACAGACACATGTCTCCTGGTTGCAGACATCATACAATTGTTTTCAGGAATAAAAGTGCTTCTGGCTGTGGAATGGAATGAACTATCTTATTTCCAAAAGTACCACTAAGACAGTCATTTCAAATTAGACTATTTATTTCCTTTTGCATTTCTCTTACCACTTATCTTATTAAATCATTTTGTTTCTTCAAACCACCATAGGAAACTTTTAGCAAAAGTTTGAGAGAATCAGAGGATCTGAGGAATAGCACCGAGAGCAGAAGATTATGGTCAATCTGCAGAATCAGAAAATCATTTAAGTTGGAACAGACCTCTAAGATCACCAAGTCACTACCTGATCCACCGAAAACAAAACAAACAAATAAAATCCACACTGACATGAAAATTGACTATCAAAATAATTAATTTCCCTGTTTACTTCTGACCACTGAGAGATTTATTCTGGTCAAATATGGTGATGTTTATAAAATGGGAGCGAAGAAAAAGGGAAATATCCATAGAGACAGGAATCTTTAGCTCTGGATGTGAGGTAGGGTGCCAATAGCCATAACAAATGTCTGAATCTGGCATCCTAAAATATGAATGTGTTCAAGAGAGAATAAGCCAAGCCAACCTCTGTGGTGCGTGAAGGTGAAGGAGATGCCTAGGAGGTGAGGGCGAACAGATGGGAGTGAGAGTGCTTAGAGTTTAAGCAATAACTCTATTGTTTAGATCTACTTCTTTTGTCTTTCCTGGCTTTCCTGGAGCCCTCACTCATGCTTTGGTACTGGCTGTCCTGTGACATGAAATGTCAAGGCTGTTGGCAAAGCCTGCCCACACTGCCATGAGTTTCCAGTGTGGGGTCAACACTGATATCCCACCAAATCCGCAATGCATGTAGACCAGGACCCAGCTGCTCTGTCCACCCCTACAAGGAGCAAATAGAGGAGAAGTGCTCTGATGGCTTTTTACCCAGGGATGCACACTTCAAATCTACTCTTCCAAAATACATCAGCAAAGAAATTAATGATCAAATGCACTGTTTATGCGTTCATGATGTGAGCAGATTGGAGGGTCAGCCAGAGAGTTGGGCACTGGATACGTGTTGATATTTTCAGGATTTTATTTTTTTTTTTGTATATAATCATGATTAAGGTTATAGTCCAACTTGACAGACACTATCAAACTGTGGGATAAAACATCTCATCATTTTAGAAATAGTGTATAAAAATGGAGATACTAAAATATTTAGTGTAAGACCTCACAGACATCAGTGTCTCAAAAATAGACTCTCAATCTTGATCTCAAAGAAGGGACAAGATAAGTTCATTAGCCCTAAGGAGATCAAAGAATCATAGGCTTCAAGTAGAGATCCCAAGGGCACATCTCAAAAAACTCCTGTCATGGCGTGATGATTTTCAGGTGGACATCAATCCTGGTGGATATTTGTGCAATCTGTTTTTAAAAAAATTTGATGTTTGATTAAATCCTTTATACTGGTCCATATGCGCAGATGCTATTCCCTTCTACCATCATCCTGGAGTTCACAGTCTCTCATAATAGCAGGGTTTTCATTCCTTTGGACCTGTGAGCAAAAACTGTCTTTAATATAATATTCAGCAACTTATAGATTTCTTTGGAAAACTGAAAAAAGAAAAAAAAAAAAAAGTGGTTTGTGGCATAAAAGGGAGGAAAAAAAGAAGGAAAAAAGAAAAAAAAAAAAAAAAGAATGGCATTCGGAAAAAAAGGACAACCCTGTCAAAACATGACAGCTGATCCACTGCCTGTTTTATGCTATTCATAGAAAATGCCAAATTCTGCAAATAGTAACCACATGTACATCGGCTTCGCAGACTCAATGTTCTGCTGCAAAATGAGACGTTCTGTATTTTAGTGTGTCATCAAAGGCAGTGAAAATATCACTCCAGCCTCCTAGGCTTAACCCTCTGGTCTCTCAACTGTTAAAAGTTTAATTCGATGGCGGTGGGAGAGAACAGCAACACATCCAGCTTTGTGAGCGGTGTTAACGGAGCTGCCTAATGTATGCCAGTTGCACATAAAGTCAATTAACAAATCTGTTACCGCGCCATTTTTATTCATAGCCATGAGACCATTAAAGCGACAAGACTGCATCTGACGTTTATGATCTTGTTCGCGTTGCCAGAGGAAGGGGGGGGTGGGGGTGGAATCAACTTTGTGGCTCTGTAGCATGAGAGAAATAGCACCATTCAGAGACATAAGGGCTCTTGAGCAAATGCCGGAGCTTCTGAAGTCTTTTTCTCATCTCGGTCCTCACCCCACCCCCCTTTTCCCAGTCCCTCCTCTTCTAACCCCCTTGCTTGTGCCTTTCAGGTTTCATTTCAATGCAGAAAGATTGGCTTTTTAGTTCAAAACTATAACGTAATTGTCCTTTTTTGTGCCTGGCTGATATTCCTTTTCACTAACATTTAAAAGAGTACTTACGCTGAATTGAATATGGGATGGGAACAGCTCCTGGTGCTTTTGTGTGCAGTAGGGATGGCTTTGCGAGGCTCAGCTTGAGCTTTGGTTGGCTGTGTCCTTGTCCAGGAATGCTTCCAAGATCTTCTAAGTGACCACTAGCTCTGAATAGGGTCTCCTGTTTAATCTCCTCTTCAACAAACAGCCTTTGCAACAGCTACAGTAAATCTCTCTCAGCATGGAGGAGCCAATCCTTAGGGGTTACACCACTTCTGCCTTGGTTTTTCCAATATTTTCCACCCTCTGCTGGCCTGTGTGTATTTCAGAATGCTGGGAGCACAACCATGAGAAATTGCCTGTGTAGCACTCTGTAACATGTTAGTGTTCCCGCTTAGCTAAATTGCTCCCCATCACACCTTGAATATAACCTACATTCCCTGCTTCCAGAAGGAAGTTCCACATATGTCTCCTGAGTTTCACTTTGATCCCTTTTCAGTGATAGTAAAGAAAGGAAGATTTAGAAACCCTGGGGACAAATAGTTTGGCAGAAAATGCTTTATTCCCTTAAATCCAACCTTGTATTGATAAAAATACAACTAATTAGAGTAGGAAAGTTAATAGCCATATTAGAGGGTATGGAGGTAGATAAATGGTTAAACAAGGACACCAATAGGTTTTATGGCTGGATGAACTGATTATGGTACAGAACTGATAAACTCCAGAATTATTTCTAGTGTGCAGACAGGAAGGTTGGAGGCCAGCTGTCTTGAGAATCTCAGATCACAATATTTGTCTACTACAGAGTGCCAAAATTCAGTGGCTGACATCCTGGCTCCATTAAAGTTCCTGGGTAAAACTCCAACAGATGTTTTACCATTGACTTTAGTTGGATCTGTTTCACCAAATAACTGCAGGGTCTGTGTGAGATGGCATGATTCTTTCCAAGACTGGAGTGGTGGGAGACATCCTTACAAATGTTTCACAGCACTGGACCTCCGGAGGAATTTGTCTCTTGAGGAATCTTGTTTGGGGAGAGGCAGGAAAGAGTGTTATCAGGGAGAAATATTGCATTCTGGTTTCTGCAAAATGACAAAGAATGAAGAAAGTGTGAACAAAAATCAGATTCGTGTTCAGTTAAGGCAAGGGAGTTGTAATGGCCACGGTGGTAAATGCTCATGCATTACATGAAATAACTCTCATGTGAGCCAACAAAGCCTTCCAGTCTTATCAGAGACATATTTCAAACTCATCTTTTCCTTTCCTTTTCTTTCCTTTCCTACAACGTAATCTAATATAATTGATAAAAATCCTCTAAGTCCGCAGGCAAAGCAGTAGTAACAAAAGCATAATTTATTTCTGTTTATTATTGATTTCTATAGGCTTTTATATAAGGTGGAAAGACACTTGTATAAAAGACAGAGTGCCTGCAACTCATCTCACCCACAGAGCTTTCACTTGACACTTTTGAATCATTGCATTGGATGTGCTCACACTTAACAAGAGTTGGGCAAAGAAACAGAGCATAGAAAAGTGTTGATGAATGTTTTTTATCCTCTAACTGAAAAAAAAATAAAAGGAAAAAACAAAACAAAACACCTTTGAAATATCAGCATAGTCTTACTACTGTGATGCTTACTCAGAGTGATATCTTACCCCAAAAGCAGTCTCATTGAAGCCATTGGTCACTGATACGGCTAAAACTGTTGTGTGAAGTATTATCTTACTTTGTGAGGGTGGGAAAGCGGATCCTAATTGTCAGATCTAATGTTTCTTTTGTTGGTGGAAGCCCTTCCACTTATTATGCATGTTGAGATCTTCTCCTAAAGGATAACTCCACTATCCTGCAGTGCCAATGGGAAACCTCAGACTTTATCTGCTCACTCGCAGCAATAACTACTGGTTGTTTTTCTCACCCAGAGAAGGGTAAGGTGGGCATTGATCATAAGACTTTAGCAACTTCAGCAGAGTCCTTATGTTGTGGTTACCTAGATCTCTCAGAAAAGTATTTCTGATAACCTAGATGTTAACATTTGTCAAGCTTTCCACGAACACCCTATGGAAGATGATAACAAAATGACGATGAAAGCTGAGACAAGTAAGAAAGGAGCTGCAATTAATCCCATTTTATCACTCTCACCAGCAGAAGTTGAAATAACCACAGAGAATGTACCCAGATCATTCTTCCCATCTTGCAAGAGCTGCACATCCCTCTGCACAACTTACTGCCAGAGCGTCTCTTCGTGGGGAGAATGGGTGCTCCAAAACGGGCCTCCAGCATCTGAGAGAGAATAAATCATATCCCAGAGAGACCAGGGAGTCTATGCCAACATTCCTGCACAGAGAAATGGGCAGCAGGCGAGATCCTGCAGCTGGTGTACGCTGAGTACGGAACACCAAGGCCTTGAACTTTTTCCCCCCCTCCTGGGTCTCTTTCTGAACTCCCCCTCCCTTCTTGCCATCTTTCCCTTGAGCAGCCAGGAGAGGAAGCAGAATTTATACCTCTGTGCCCTTAAAATGCTGACTTTCCATGTTTACAGGGATTGTTTACACAGAAAATTAATCAGTTACGGTTTTAAATTTTAATTAAAGAATGCTTTCCACTGTTATTGCAAAACAGACAAAAGCCCATAAAATGTATATTTGACTGCCGTGCTGTGTTGTCTTTGGATCGGTAAGCAGACTTGAGATCAATCATGCATGGTATTTTTTGAACTTTTTTTTCCTAAACACAACTCTCTTCACACAAGTTATGCTATTTTATTTTGTTTTAAATGCCCTTCAAAATAAAAGGCAGACTGCACAACAATATGGAATTCTCCTTCATGCCTTTCTTTTTAAGACCAAAAATGAAATCCTTACTCTCAAGCTGACCGTGGGATATTTTAGCCATTAAAAAACCACAAACAGAATCACAGCTTCCATAGTAAAGGCCTCAGACTTGCCTACTTCAAAGTCAATAACAAAACTCCCACAAACTTTGATTCAAGTGTTTATTACATGCTGTTTGTTCCCACAGCTGCAGTTCCTGGTTAGAAAATAAAGTGTGGTCATTTCTTTCTCCAGATCTCATGGCCATTAACTGAGATTCAAGATCACTTCAGTGTTAGCCATTCAACCCCTCTTTCCTAAAGTATTTATCCATGGTGTATAGATGCCTTCTGAAGGCCTGGAGAAGAGCGTGACTCTGAGAAACTAAATCTAGCCCCTAATTTTACAGTCATGAGGAAAAGCTGCAATTAGGTCTGCTATGCCTGCATTTTCTTAGCTATACAGTCAAGCATTTTATTTTTTCTTAAACAAAAGTAAATTCAGATGAATAAATCAACAATGCAAGTGTAACTGGCTTAACTAAAACAGACTGTTGTTTCTCTTGAAGTATTTCTGTTGGTATAAATCAAAGAAACATTTTTTTCTAACCCTTCTTCCCACTATCTCCAAAGATCCATGAACAAACTGTAATGAAACCAAGCGTCACTACAGTAACAAGAAAGTTTCATTGTTCAAATTTTAACACTATCAAATATAGACAGATGGAAATCACCAAGCTTTGAAAGCCACCATAATACCCATCAGTTCTGCTGGGGGGTCTAGTTGTGCTACACAGGAGAGTTCCTGCAACAGACACCTCTCCTGCTCACTACAGACACTGTAAGACAAGACTTTGCTAACTCCATAAGTAAGATGATGTAAGTATTAACACGGTAACTAATTTATTTCCAATGATAAGAACACCTGCAGGTCAAGCAGCAATATGAGCATCTGGACCACCAAATGTCAGGCAAAAGCTTCAAGTTGACTGTTGCACACTGACAAGCATAAGAGGAAAAGGAGAGAAAAAAACACTTGATATAGTCAGAAAGAAAAAAAAAATAAACATGATAAAAATCACGTTAAGGTAATTAACATCTAATTGAGGTAGATGATGAGTGAAGAGCCTCGCTTTACAGTAAAGTTTGTGGCAGAAATCACTTTGGGTTTTGTAAGATCCATGTAGTTCTAAGGAAAAGGGAGAAATAAAAAAATTTGCCCAGATGTTGTATCTATTGCAACAAGAAAGGTGACAAATCATCAAGAAGTTCGACAGTCTGTTCTAGTACTGATGAGCAGGCAAACATTTATGAATATTTATCTGACCTATATACAAATTATTTTAGCAGCTTTGCTCCATGAAACTACTCTGGAAACATTGCCAGAAAGATAACAAGTTATGGTATGAAGGTCACAGTGAGAACAGAACTTCGAAGGAAGGTGTTTGGACAAGAATAGAAACATCTGTTAGTAGAGATGTCCTAGAACGGTCACCGCAATGTATGGGGTATCAGCTTTCAGCTTGCAGCTTGTGAATGACAGATTCACAGAAGTTAATAGCAAAAAGATTGTTGCAGATCTCTATTCTGCTTGCCCACATATTAGAGGTCATAAGATTTCTTTGAATTCTTTTTCTGTTTTAAGTCCAACAGCTGAGGCTAACATAAAGTTATCATGGAAGGGAATTGGAGAGATATTATTTTAATCAGAAAAATGTTAGCAATAGGCAATGAAAAGTATAATAGGAGTAAATGTTGTTACTCTACATTAAAATTTACCTTTGTTGTAAAAGCGTATTCATGTACATATGCATATATATGCACATATACACATACATATACACATGCATACATAGCTATATATAAATTTACATGCATGTATCATATTTCTGGTCTAAATTCCTCTAATTTCAATCTCCAGCCAAAGTAGCAGCATTTGGTACTTGACAAAGTACTTACACTCACTTACTTCTGACTGAGATCAAGTCAGTGCTTTATCTTGTCTCCAACAGCTCCTTAAGGCTCTTTCTCCAAAATGTTTCGCAATCCTTTGTTCATTCATGAGCTATCCTCTAACACCTCCTCCCTTTACTCCCCTCCCCCATTCACCCAACAACATATTTTTTTTCAGCATCTTCGGGGTGCTACGCTATTAGTTTTTTGTTTTGTTTTCAGATCAGCAGAATATTTTTGTAGCAAATTGCTTGATCATCCTTACTTAATCTCCTTTGAATCACATCGTGAGCCATGTCAGAAGGCCCAGACTGGACTCCCCTTCTGGATATAACTAAGTGCTCCAACCCTAATGAGCTCCAACTGCTAAAGTGACACCAGGTGCTCTGCATTAGTTGCTTCACCATACAGAACCTTTCTGATTATTCTGCAGTACATTTCAATGTAGACACAATCTCACCTGTGGATGACAGAAAGTGGGTGTGATATTTCAAGAGTAACAGCACAAGTGCCAAAGACAGAACTATTAAAAACACTCTTCTATTCTATACTGCTTAATCTAGATGTACACAAGTCTTTTCATCATAACCAATGGAGACAATGTTACACAGGAAGAAAATATTGGTATAAACAGATTCCTGCTACTGAAAATTATACGAAGTACTGAAATTATATGAACAGAAACCTTCTGTTAGGCAACTACAAGTGGGAAGAAAGTTCCTAAAATGGAAAATTATTACATCATTTCCAATGATTTTTTTATTTTCTTTTATTCTTTACGAAATCTTCTGTTGGTAGGTGGACCCTGGTTTGTTGAAAAGACTAAGTATTTGCTGTTCAGCTGTATTTTTATGAGCTTCTGCTACTGAAAAGTTGCCAATGAATGATTTGACTTCAGGTGTAACGAAGTCACCTTTGGGATTCCAGGAGATCTAGGTTAACTTTCCTTGGAAATGCTTATTACTGGGCACTTACAGATATGTCTGATCCTCAATTAATACATGAAATATTGTCTGTTTCTTTTCTTAAATGTCTTCTAAGGCATTTCATGGACACATAAAATCTTCAGCTATTATTTTGAGGAGTACCCGTGATAGCAATTGAACTCACTCACTAAGTGCATTTTTGTGCTAATTAAATATTCCAAACTTCTATCAAGATTATTGTCACCTATTTAATGGTTCATTGAGTTTATGGGCCATGCAAGTCTCTCTTTTATATTTTCATCAGGATAGTTATAGCAACTATTCTAGTAATGACAAATTAGGGAACATGCAGAGGAGATGAAAGAACCTCAGAGCAGTAGGCCCAGTTTTTTACTAACTTATGCCAATTTTATGATGTTGTAATGGCATTGACATTGATGGAATTATTCTTCATTTTCTCTGGTGTCAGCGAGTAATAACTAGTCCTACTTAGCTGATATCGAAAACGTGGTAAACATGGCAGTACATTTTTGACCACCTTGACCCCCAGGCAACCATCCAAAAAGCTAGTACTAAGGTTCCATCTGTGGGCAGTACGTGGACCAGGGATGGGAAGACTTTAATAATATTGTCCTTCATTTTACTGATAAGAATTTTCATCCTTTGGGCTATTTACCTTTTGGACAATAGGAGAGGGCATTCTGCCTATTTGTAGTCCATCAGAGAAGAGGGTAAGTTTGATTCTGTAGTCACTATTAGATAAAATATGGAGTGGAACATTTAAATAATGAAAGTATCAATACTAGAGGAAGATGGGGAATGGTTATTTGGAAAAACTTCTAGCAAGCTCCTGCCTTCACTGGACTTTGTTGAATCAAATTGAAAATAAGCTCAACTCAAGGACTTTCTGTAAATAAATTATTTTTTGTTTGGTACCAACAGGGCTCTGTTCAGATATCAGGAAAGTCTATTGGTGATATGTTCCATAATAAACCGTTTTATAATGCACCCCTCTTCCCCCTTCTTTTTTCCTGTTTCTAGGTTTAACTTAGTGAGAGTAAATGAAGTATTAGTGCTAATAGCAAGGCAGTTCAATAAAATGAATAGTAAGTAAAACATTTTACTGATATTGCACCTCTCACCTCCAGGTGCAGAATGCAGAATTTTCAGAAGAGCATACATGATTTAAGGGTCAGAAATCTAATTGACTGACAAGCCCCTGTCTCACTTAGGGACTAATGAATGTTGTATTGTGACTGTTTTTCTTAAAAAGTAACATCAAACTACTTTCTATTCATAATAAATTAACACATTTTAGAGACTTCTTAATATTTGCCTCCACAAAGCCACAATTTTTATCTGAACAGACCTGCAAGCACCTGTTGTAGCCTGTTTTAAAAATGAGGTCTTGTAGCTTTCAGTTAATACCTCATAGAAATAGCAATGTGATTTCGGTGGCACTGCTCTGATTTCTTCTAATGCAAGACACTCACGTTTTCTATAAGTATCCCATGCATAATTCATATGGGGGCTCATATTTGATTATTTATAGACCTTTTTATGACACCCCCTCAGTGAATATTTGCACATCTCTCAGATAGCAGGGTGAAACATTCTTCTGATAAAAAAAAATAAATAAAAAAATCCAGCTAAAGACTTTGCACCACTTCAGTTTCTCTTAGGTCTCAAAAGAGCTCTAAATACAACATAAGTGGCATATAGGCTTTCATGCTAGTACTCTGCACGGGAAAGTATTTTCACCCTCAACTTCCCCTTTCTGAAGCAGAAGATCCGGTTCCCATGCTATGTGCACAGAGCAGAAGAGACAGCTTGCTCAAAGCTGTGGGGACAGTTTGTAGGAGTCAAGAAGGGAATTTAGTCCTTCCTGTTCTGCAGTTCTATGTCTCCATGGCAAGAACTTGTTTTCGTCCATGATTAGCAATGTAAAATCCTTCTGCCTAGTTAGCTGATTCCTGCAGTAAAAGCACAGAAACTAAGACTGTAAAGAACATCAGAGTCCATGCCACCCTTTCCCAAACAAGATTAACTGTGCTTATGTCCTTCAGAAAGAGGCTTCTGCTATTTATTTATTATTTTTCCTAAAAGACTTAGAAGGTAGAAATTGCACAATTATTTTCTTCTGGTGATTAAAGTATCTTAATGGCAGTAAACTTCTTCCAAACTAAGTCTTCTTCACAGCTTTTTTAAGCCTGTTATTTCTCATTCTACCTGTGGTGAAATCTTTTATTCTTTATCTCCCTACACGTATGCCTACGTATTGAAAGACCACATTCAGGCTTTGGTTAATCTCTTTCGGACTAAACCATCCCAGTCCCTTCCATCTATCTAACTCCAAGATCCACCTGAAGGTGATGATCTTCTCAAAGCAAAGATTCCCCATCAGGTAGGATAAAGAACACATTCTTCATTGGATAGTTGAGTGTTCCTAGGAGTTTGCTTTCCTAGACATTTCTTATTCATCTCCCTCATCTCATGATCACAGAAGGGAGCAGCAGAAGTCTGTCTGCCTTGCAGCTTCATACAGGATCCATATGTCTGGTGCTCGGCATGCAGTTCTCTCTCTCCATCGAATGTCAGCTCTTCTCTGATCCCCCTGCCCTAAATGTCTCTTGCTTTCCTATCTTTCTGTGTGCTGTTTCCCCCCATGAGATTTTGATGAAAGATTTTAGAAGACAATACATATGATGAATGTATATGGTTTTTTTTTTTTTTTTTTTTTTTTTTTTTTTTTTTTTTAATGAGAAAGTCATAGCTACTGATAGGAATACTCTCAAAAGCCACAATGTAGAGAGTAGTAGTGTGAGCCTGAGTTTTCTTCTTGTTCACAGGGATTTTATTCGCATATTTTACTGTCAGTTTCTTGACATTTTTGTCAGCTTGGATCCGGAGGCCATAGTTGCCGCCAGCAGGTCCTACCACATTTTTATTCTCCATTGTATTTGCAGGGAATAAATAAAAACAGAACAAGAGCGAAAGCAAGAGAGAGACATGGCGAGAAAGAGTCAGAGGTTACTGGAAGAACTGCTTTATGCATTTTTTTCCCTGCTAAAGAACGTCCACCAAATGAAAAAAAACTAAACAACCACAGAGCATTTTGCACTGAGAGAAATTTCTTTACTCGGTTATATGCAATGCAGACTTAAGGCAAAGTGGTTAATGTGTTTGCATAAGAAATCTCTCATTCCCTCTCATGCTTTGTTTGTCTTTTCCTTTTTTTTTTTTTTTAATTTTAATTTTATTTTATTTCCTGTGTATTTCCGGGCTGCCGTGAGATTTTCCTCACAAAGCATCCATTGTTTCCCAGCCACATCACCAGTGTCTGTAATCAACTCTGATTTCTTTTTTTCTTTTTATTTCTTGCTATAACCGTGAGATTTACACATGTGCCAAATAAACAAAACCTACCATAAGGTTATAAACAAGTTGACTATAGAAGTGTTTATTCCTCAAGGCTTTAGATGCTGCGAACAAGAAGGAAGAACAAAGACCTGCTTTTCACTTATGAACTTATAAATTAAAGTTTGATTCTCAATGCTTGTTTTCTGCTCCATCAAATCTCTTAACCACAATCTACAACTGATGTTTGTGTCTTTCCTGCATAAGAGTCAGAGTAAGAGACAATAGTAACATCTCAGGTGTGTCAAAGGTTTAATTCAGTCTCAGATAAGTGAAAATTTCATTCTGTATGGATGCCTCATCATCAATATTGATCTGATGCTCTGTACTGATCTTTGACAGTTTGGTATAACTCTAAGTTGAAGAGACTTCACTGCCAGCTTTCGGAAGTTATATACAAACTGGTCTCCTGTCTGTTCAGCCCTATCCTATACTATCTTTACCCTTGAACACAACCTTTGATGATTAATAAACAAACAAAAATATAAAAATATGACAATCTAACTTTCTGTCTTTCCAGGATGCAATACCCAACCCATTAGTGATGAGAATGAATATCCCACTTTCAGCTGCCTTTCCATAAAGCTCCATGGTCTCAGCCTCAAGTTTCAGACTTCCCCATAGCTGTTCCAATTATTGCAGTAGTTCCTGACATCCACTCATCCTCTAACAATTGCATCAACACCATCAATTCCTTTTTACTCATGCAACTTAGCAGTAGCCACAATGGTGTTCAGTCTCTTATGAAGTACGCCAGATCTAAAAATGGTGGCAGGGAGTTTGAAAGGCTCTTTAGTCATCAAGCTCCTCAGGCAGGTGCTTTCTGAAGTAAGAAGAAAAAGTCAAGTATTAAAAGTCAGTTGCGGAGTAAGTGCTGCATCTCTTACTTCATACAAAGGGTGTTTTGTAGAGACCCATCATCTACACAAGTGAATTGGGAATTGGATATTAAAGACTAAAAACAAAGAGATATCT